AGTTGAACCAAATGGATGAAACTCACATACACAACATTAATACCCTGAAAGAAAAACTGAAACAGGAAAAAGACCATCTGGATAGAGCAAGAGACAAGATGGAAGAAGACAAAGTAGACTTGGAGCACAGTAGGTCTGACATCCACAAACAAACTGCATTACTACTACTTGAAAAACAAAACATTCAAGATGAAAGAAACAAGTTGGAAATCGAAAAGACAGAACTCGACAGGAAAACACAAGATATTACCAAGCTTCTGGATGATGTGAACAAAGAGAAAGCAAATGTAGAAAATGTGGTTCAACATATCCAAGATCAAAGTGAAAGACTTGAACAAGTTGCAAGAATGATTCACTCCAAACAACAAAAAACAGACACAATGAACCAAGAGGTCAGAACACAAGTCCAAGAGTTAAAAGACAGAGAGCAACAATTACAGGAGGACAAAACAAAGTTGGAAATTCTCATGAAGAACACCAGAAAAGCAACTGAAAATATTAAGGCTATTGTGACCAATGTCAAAAATGAAAAGGACAATGTCAAAGAAATGGAGATGGAGATCGAAACACAACGAGAACTGCTATCAAATGAGAGGGAAAGACTGAAGGAAGAATGGACCAATTTGAAAGCAACACAAGAGGAAGTGCTGAATAAACTGACTTCAGTTGAAAACATGAAAGCAGAACTTCAAGTGGTAAAAGGTAAAATGACTAAACACATGCAAGACAAGATGGACAAGTTATGGCAACAAGAAGAAAAAACTGAAAAACTGGACAATGAATTACAGCAAAAGCTTGTTGCCTTAGACAACCAGAATGAACAAATGACTTCTTACAAAGAGCTATTTGAGAAGGAGATGGTATCTCTAAAGACCATTCTTTCAGACGCAATCAAAAAGAAGCAGGATATGGAAAATGAGTTGAACCAAATGGATGAAACTCACATACACAACATTAATACCCTGAAAGAAAAACTGAAACAGGAAAAAGACCATCTGGATAGAGCAAGAGACAAGATGGAAGAAGACAAAGTAGACTTGGAGCACAGTAGGTCTGACATCCACAAACAAACTGCATTACTACTACTTGAAAAACAAAACATTCAAGATGAAAGAAA